AGAACGGCAAGCACGTTGTCCCCTCTGTTCCAACCGGTTTAAAGCTCAAGCCGACTTAAAAATCTACTGGCTTTTGTGGACACTGATTTGACCGTGACAAAGGCAAACACCAGTGCACACGCGGGCACGGGCATAGCCCTCAGAGAGGAGGCTGGTGCCAGAGGACCCTAAAGCTGAGAAGGGTTGGACACCTTGGCTCTCGTGCCCGCTTCAGCCGTCAGCCACCGCTGCACGGCCAGGGTAGCCTGTCCGGCCCCCCCACCCCGCAGGACGACCCCGCCGCCTTCCCTGGCGGCCAGTGTGGCACTGACGCGAATTTCCCACCCTCGTGTGAGCCACGTGCCCTCACCCTGCACCGCTTCCCTCCGAAAACGTTGTTAACCACCTGAGTGTTGTCGCCGGCCCTCCACGTGCTTCCCAGAACAAAGAGGCTGCCTCACGCCGGCTCCAGAGACCCGGCTCCCTCCCGCCGAGAGTCCAGAATCCAGAACCCGGAGTCAGCCAGCGCTAGATGCCGGCAGAAACAGGGAAACAAAACGGGATCGTTTCTCGGGGCTCGTTAGCAAGAAAACAAGGGTGAAGCCTTCCAGCCCCCAGGGGCAAAGTCACGGAGGTTTCTCTAAAATGGAAATATTTGTTTATTTGAGCAAATGCATGTAATCCAGGGTCGTTCAGGAGAAAGTGCTCATTTGGTGCATGGACCCATCGTCTTTAAAAAGACTGTCCCCGAATTACTTCGAAGTGGCAAATGCCTGAAATTGCCCAAGTATTTTTGGTGCCCACACTTGCGGTATCCACACTGCTCTCAGCAGAAACACAGCATGCGCCCTCCGTGCTCGAGGCCCCAGATCCCCGCTCAGCTTCCCTCAAAATGCCCGTCCTCACTTCGCTGCCTCTGCAGACAGCAGCTGCCCTGCAGGGCGAGCACTTAGCATCCTCAGAGCTTTTCTGCAGAAGCCGCGATGAGGAAAGACCAGCTGCACACCGCTTGCTTGCTGGACGCCGAGCAGGCGTGTCCTCACGGCACGCTTCGGCCGTGTCTGGGTGGCCATTATTTACTGGGATAAAAACTAAGCGACACGGCCTGCCACTCGGACGACGCCAACGTCCGGCCTGAAACTCCCGGTGACACTGACAAGTAGAAATACTAGAATACAACTTTGTCGTGGCCAGCGTCCTAACACACTTCACACGTGTCCGCCGTGCACATGCGTGTGCTCTCGCGTGTGTCGAGAACCCTCTCTCGGTCAAGCGCGAGCTGGAACTGGATGCGGGAGAGCAGAGCTGACCGGCCCTGCCTTCCGGAGGGCCGCAGTCTCCTGGGACACAGACGTGAAAGAAATAACTACACAAACGAGAGCGTCATCGCACGGGGGGCGGGCGCCCGGCTGAGCCGTCGCAGAGGGTGTCCTGACGGCCGGCATTTCGAGGGCTTGGCCTGAGTGAGGGCAGAACGTCCAGTGGATGAAAGGCCACAGGGCAGTCTCGGAATCAGGAGGAGCCGAGCGCCACTGCCAGTGGCCGGTGTGGCTGGACCTGATTGCTCAGGGGGTAGCGAGGAGCCAAGCATAAGGCGAGGCAGAAGGCCACTCAGGAGCCAGAGGACACAGAGGCCGGACACAGAGCTAGGGGCTGGGCTCTGCCAGAGCAGCGGGAAGCTGTTCGCTGGCTCAGGGCAGGGCGGCTCCCTCACCCCCGTGCTCTGGGGAGGCTGGGGGCAGGGAGGAGGGGTCCCCGTGACGCTGGTGTAGGGGCCGCCATGGAGTCCCTCCTGCGGGCGTGGCAGGACACGAGCCCGCGCGGGCAGAGCCCAGACGAGGCTCGCCGCCCTGCATGCGGCCCGTTGGGGGCCGCGGGTTTGGCCTGATAAGATTTCTGACCCGAGTGAGCCAGGGAAGGACAGAAAACCTCCCCAGAATCCACGGCACCAGCGGAGCCCGCTGACGCACGCAGAGGTGCTTGTCACAGCACGGTGCGTCTCGGTGCTTTCGTTTACGGGAACTTTAAAACAGGTGGGACCCCTCGTTCCAGCTGCACCCACCTTCTTGAAGCAAATACCGGAGATAACAGTGTTTCATCCACAAAGATTAAAGGAATTTTCTCTAGAAGCTAAGGACTCTTTTGTTTAACTTCACAGTGATAACCTCGCACATGTAAAAAATGTACATATTCTTTAATATCAGTAAAAACCCACCCGTGTTTACATTTCTCCAGTTGGCTCAAAGAATTTCCTTTGACCATGTGACGGTCGGGTCTCTGCTGATCTATATGTTCTCCCGCCCGTCCTTCCTCCTTGCACAAGCCCCTGGATCTGGCCGAGCAGCCGCTGCTGGGGTCCTGGCCACCCCCAGGCCCCCGTGTTTCTGTAAACTAGTAGCCAGAGGTCTGATCAGATTCGAGTTTAGTTTTCCTTGCAAACATAGCCCATCAATGGCACTGTTTTCCTGGCCACCTACCATGCCGAATCCACAGCGAGAAGCACACGCGGAGCCACGGCCGAATGCCTAACGGTGCGCTCACGCAGCCGGGCCGCGGCCGAATGCCTAGCGGTGCGCTCACGCAGCCGGGCCACGGCCGAATGCCTAGCGGT